AGACATATTTCTCTGTGTGCAGCCATTCCGCTCTCAGTTCAGCCATGGCAGTGGGCCAGGACCTGCTGACTAGTGGAGGGAGAAGGAATAAACTCTTGTGTTGGTTAGGACCTACTATAACATTCACCTCTCACTTCGTATTGCTTGAAAAAAACTTTTTTTTAAAACAAGAAACACAAATTCCTGTTATAATAAGAAAAGAAGGCAGGAGAGAAGGATGCATAAGGAAGGAAAAAAAGAAAAAACACTTGTTTAGGATAATATACGAATGAGTAATCTGATACTTTTCTAGGTCTTTCTTCCAAGTACTACATTCTTTAATTCTACGTATGAATAGCTTCTCTCTCTCTTTTCTGGTTCTTTCAATGAACATATAATTTTTTAATTAATTAATTAGATAAAGATAAATCTGCACTATTTGGTTTAACTGTAGCCCTGGTGGCGCAGTGGTTAGGAGCTCTGCTGCTAACCAAAAGGTCAGCAGTTTGAATCCACCAGCTGCTCCTTGAAAACCTAATGGGGCAGCTCTAATGTGTCCTGTAGGGTCACTATGAGTTGGAATTGACTTGACGGCAACAGGTCTGGTTTTTTATCTGGCTTGATTGGAATTTATAAATATGATAAATTAACCAAGTAGGAAAAGTGTAATTTACTTTTCTAGATGTTAAAAATTACTGCAGCAGGAAAAAGTTTACTTCACTTTTCAGCTGGAGTCATCCAATTGAGATAGATACTAAGTTTATCTCTTGTTTTTCCCTTTTCCAACTCTAAAAATCAACATTTCTTTTCTGGAGAGAATGGTTTAAACAGCTGATACATTTAGCCAAGCACTTATCATAGTCAACAGTATATGAAAATGAGGCATAATATTTTTTATCTTCATATTTGCAGCTCATAAATATACTTTAGTTTTTCCTTAACTGTTGGCTTACTGAAAATCTACAAATAATCTGGGTGAGATGCTGAGATCTGTTGCAAAGAACATCATTGAAAAGTAAAAACACAATAAAAAGCTAGATACCATTAATATACAATTAAACCAAAGCTTTTGGATTTTTAAATAGCTGTTAAATTTATCAAAGTTTGCTTTCATCTGACAAAGCAATTCCAGATTAATGTAACTGCAAGGCTGTTAAGCTAGTATAATTAAAACAAAACAAAACAAAACAAAACCTGGATCAAGTTGAAAATTTACCTGTTTTAATTCTGCAACTTGTTCAGAATCTTTAGCTGAAGCTGTTGTTGCAGACTGTTCATTTGTCCCAGGTGATGTTTGGGAAGATTTCTACAAATAGCACAGAAATAAACTATGAAATATATTCAGTCTGAGTCAAAAAAAAAAAAAAAAAAAAAAAAAGCCAAAATAGAACTGTACACATACAAGCTATGCCTATAGATTTTTATCAAAAAATTTCACATCAACATTTTAATTCTTACATCTAAGATAAAATTTCAGTGTAGCACATATTGTCTATAACTTTTCTAAAATTAATAAATTTATACGTATACCAAGTAATTTATTAAATCTAAGCACTTATCTGAGATCATATGGAAAAAGACTAAATAAAAGTAGCTTTTTAGTGAGCATTTCCATGTGTTGAAAGAATTTTATACAGAGTATCTCATTTAATTCTCACAACAACAGAACAGATATTACCACCACCAAATAGATCAGGAAAAAAGTTTAAAGAGGTTAACGAAGCTGCTCAAATTCAATTAGCTTGGAAGCACTGAAGCTTAGTCTGACTCCAAAGCTCATGCTCTAAAAATCTTAATATTATACTCTGGCTAAAGGGAAGAATTAAGAGGACCCAGCAAACAAACAAGCAGGATAATGAGAACTACTCTTGATTTCTTTAAGAATATTTTTAACATTTTTACTTCTTACCAAATTTTCAATCAAAGAGTCCTTTTCAGCGAGTTGGCTTTGTAAAAGTTCCTGATTACTTTTTAATTCTCCTATTTCTTCTCGTAACCTACCAATGTCTTCTGGCTGAATGCCATTCATCTGAGCCCCGTCACTATAAGAACCTTGATGCTGATTGTCTTTTCCTGTTAGGCATAAAATTTGAAAAGTCAGCATGAATTTTTTCATTTTTTGATCTACAAAATTCAAATAGAAATATAAATATGTAATTTCCTTAATGCAATTACACGACAATTACACTTTCGCAAGCACATTTCATCCAGCCTAGACAACAAATGGATATCAGCGATAATAAGAACATTTCAGAACCTCTGGACTGTTCTTCTGACTCTATTTCACTGTCAGGGTTTCCCCATTTCTGTTTTCTTCCTTTCCCTATAATCCCTTACTGATAATCAAATACGAAACAGAAATATGATTTGGACTGTTTATTTAATGTAATTTTATATTTCTTGGCTTTAATGTTTATATTTCTTTTTATTTTTTTAATTGCACTTCAGGTGAAGGCTTACAGAACAAATAGTTTCTCATGAAACAGAAGTACAC